CTTTTTTTTTTTTTTTTATCCTCACCCGAGGATATGTGCATTGATTTTAGAGAAATGGGAAGGTGGAGAGAGAGAGGGAGAGAGGGAAAGAGAGAGAAACATCCTGTGAGAGAGAACATTGATCGGTTGCCCTCCTTACGTGCCTCTACCTGGGAATTATATACCCACAAACTTTCGGTATACAGTACGATGCTCCAACCAATTGAGCCACACCAGCCACACCAGGTTTGACTTTGATACTGAATATTGAGCACATATCAAAGAGCTGGAGATAGCTGAAAAAGCCTATATATAAAACTTTATTTTAACAGTTGTGAATTTTGTTTCAATTAATATAATTAGAAGTGTTAAAAGATAAACTGAGGGCCCTGGCTATGTGGCACGGTGGTTGGAGCATTGGCCCGTACACCAAAAGGTTGTGGGTTTGATTCCCAGTCAGGGGCATATGGGAGGCAACCGATTGATGTTTCTCTCTCTCTCTCTTTCCCCCTTCCTCTTCTTTCTAAAAATCAATACAAACATCCGGGGGTGAGGATTAAAAAAAAGAAAGAAAGAAAAAATAAACTGAGGCATATTAAGATTTTGAAGAGTTTATTTGAGCAAACAATTTAATTCAGGCAGCTCCAAACTGCAAGTGGTGAGAAGCTCTCCACTACAGAAGATAAGGGCAGTGTTTTTAGAGAAGACACAAAGTAAAGCAAGGAAGTTGTTTGCTTGTCTGTAGCTTAGGTGGTTACATTATCTGGGAAAGCCTAGTTGGCTTTTGTGATTGGTTGTTCTTAATCCAGAGGCATTTACAGGAATTAACCCTGCCTTAGTTTTCCATTTGCCACCAAGGCATTAGAGCCACCTCTGTCTAATGGCCTCCTTCTATGGTTACCTTAACAGTAGTGGTCCTTATTCAGTCCATTCCAACTCAAAACCTTTATTGTGCATCAATTAACATGTAAGAAAAAGCCTATTCCAATAAATTTACAAATTAGTGGTGTATAAGGCAGCCAGTTAAAAATCCTATTCAAACAACATGCTACACAACAGTATGGTGGGTAGAGAAATAGTCCTGCCTAAAGAAGGAGTCTGGGAAGGCCTCTGGAAGAGGTGGGATTGGGACTGGTAAATACAGGAGTAAGAATGGCATACTAGGTAGAAGAAACAACATGCTTAAGTAGTGGCTTCTAAGTGAGCTGTGTTTGGGAAGACTCACACGATAAATGCAATTGCGGTAGGAAAAGAGGGCTAGAAAATAGGAGCCAAATTGTGGAAGGCAGTTTTTAATTTTAGGTGTGTAGTGTCATCTTATTAAAGGTTTTGATTTTAGGGGAGTAATGATGATGTAATACAAAGTCACTGACTACCGGTGAGGCAGATGCAAGGGGAGGCTGCGGAGGCTTGTAGGCTAGTGTTTCCTACCTTCCCTGATGATACCCATCAGCTGGGAGTGTTTTTAAAAATACAGATTCTCTGCCCCATTCCAGCACCACTGAATCCAACTATTTCCAGGGGAAGAGACCTAGAAAGTCAAATCTTAAATGAATGCCTCACATGATTTTTATTTTAAGGTGACGGGAAACAATGTTAGGCGATTTTAAGAGTCAGGTTTTGAATTCTTTGAACTTTTATGTTTGTAAAAATACCTTAATTTAAAAAGTCACGGGTGTCCAATTTTTCAGAAAGCATTTAAATTTTTAGAAAGAAATAGCATTTTATATTTGTCCCCTTTTTTGTCATTGCCTTTCTGTTGTTTTTTTTATTGTATTTGTTACCTTTTGGGTTCTCATTTCAACTTCAAATATTTGGACATTTTTTTCTCCGTCTAACTTCCCTCCTCCTTGCCTGTCTCCCCTGGAAACCCAGCCATTAATATTTCCAAAACAATGGCCACAATGTAAGTTTCTGAGTTGATTTGTGTGTGGGTTTGGGGTAGAAAAAATAGCTTCTAGGAGGTAGAGTAGAAGCCCGGACATAGACAACTTCCTTTTCTTTGTCAATATTTCCTAAGTGAAAATTGTTGAGAGAAGTATATGACTTCTTGCCTCACTTAATTTTCAATTTCTCTTAGGTTTTTCTTCACAGTTCAGAGCTACGAGAGGAAGTTGGGCAAAGTTCATTTGTTACTTTTAGGCTAAACTGAATGGTTTATTGCAGCCAGGAAAGTAATTTATAAGTTACCAACCACAAAATGGCCCGTTTACTTTTTTTTAGTACTAACACCTTTTATTAAATCTAAGAAGCCCTGGATTGTACCATTATTTTATGTACTACTTTAAAAAAAATCAGCCATCAGTCTTAACTCTTACATAATGCTAAGATGCCATGTAATTGAGACATTCCCTCATTCTGAGATTTTAACGTGAAAAAAAGTGGTCACCTTAGAGTATCAGTGAAGTAGGATGTTTCTTCTGCTGTTTTAGCCAGGCTGACTTTATAAAATAATGTTATATTCTCTTTGTACAAGAGGGGGGGAAATAGGGATATATATGCATTCTTGAAAAATGACCAACTTGTGGTCTTGAAAATTGTATGCTAAAAACAGCAGAACTTCTGGGAAAAAATAGGATCCTGAGAGACCACTCATCCATAAAGTACTAACAAAAACAGTAATCATCTTAATAAAAATTCTTGCACATTTTGAAGAGATACATTAACTTTCTCTCCCCCCCCCCTTTTTTTTTATTGATTTCAGAGAGGGAGAGAGAGTGAGATAGAAATGTTGTGAGAGAGATACATCAATCAGTTGCTTCCTATATGTGCCCCGACTAGGGATCGAACCTGCAACCTAGGTATGTGCCCTGATGGTATGAATTGAACCTGAGACCTTCCTGTTCACAGGACAACGCTCCAACTAACTGAGCCATACCAGCCAGGGCTACATGAACTTTCTAATAAATATTCCAATAAACATAGGTCATTACATTAAAAAAAAATGGTGAGCCCTAGCTGGTTTGGCTCAATGGATAGAGCGTCGGCCTGTGGACTGAAGGGTCCCAGGTTCAATTCTGGTCAAGGGCACATGCCCAGGTTGCAGACTGGATCACCAGTAGGGGGCGTGCTGGAGGCAGCCGGCCAATGATTCTCTCTCATCATTGATGTTTCTATCTCTCTCTCCCTCTTTGAAATCAATAAAAATATATTTTTTTTAAAAAGGTGAAAGCCTGATGGAAAAACGATGTTAAGAAAGAGTTAAAACTGATGAGTAATATTGCAGAGGCAAAATGCTTACAGATCTTAGAGAGCCAAGCAATAAGCACACACAAAGACAGGACACATGGCCAAATTGAGCCCAGAGGAAGCATGTGGGGCTATCTGGTATCACAAAAAAGTATAATTATAGTATAACTACAGGCCCGGTGGGATCCCTCAGCCTGGCCTGCAGGGATCGGGCCGAAACCAGCCCGGTGCTCGCCTATCTTGCCCAGTCCCTATCAGCGGGACCCCAGCAGCAAGCTAACCTACTGGTCAGAGCATCTTCCCCCTGGTGGTCAGTGCGTGTCATAGCGACTTGTAGGATGGTCGGACACTTAGCATATTAGGCTTTTATTATATAGGATAATCTATTTGTACCTGTTGCCATTATGCAGTGATGCAAAACATTGAGGTACTGGGGGGAATATCTCATAAACCAAAGCAACTTGAATAGTATACTTTAATTATTACCCTAATTATCATTTGGTATGAGCTAGTTTGGTTAAGGAAATGTGCATTATAGCAGAATAGATTGAATTCTCTCAAGTGCTCTATATTTCTTTTATTCTCTTCTTCAGTTTTTCTGATGTTCTTATCTCCTTGTTATAACTGCCCCAGTCTTCAGTGATTACTTAATCTTCTCTGCTTCTGCAGCACATGTTATATGTACTACTCATTTGGCTTTTAAAATACGTCAATTCATTTTTCTTTTTTGCCTTCCTGCTAATCTATAAGGCCATCATTGATTTATACTACAAATAGGTAGCATTATGCCATGGCATTTTGATTATAGGTTTTACACATAAGCCATAGTATTATCTATTGTATTACCTACCTTTCATAGGTAATGACTTTCTGAAAACGTGCACAAAAGTCAAATGTGGGAATGCTAAGCAATAGACTTCCATGTCACATGCTCTTCCAGAAAGCTAAAGAATATAAAATCTCTAATAACACCTTGCCTTTAGAATATTGTATTGGTATTTCTATCCTTCTTCCCTTATTCTTTAATTTTATACCTTCACAATTGAACAAAGTCTCCAAGAATTGAGCTCAGTGGGCATCTAGTCAAGGCAGAAGAGTCAACACTTTGGGCATGCATGATATTTTCTTTGCTCACTTGTATTTTGTATGTGATATTCAGGTATATATTGGCACTTTGATGTTTTGTCTTTCCTCCTTTTAATGAAATATATAATACCCATTTACATATTGAGTGATGACACTATGCCAGTACTGCAGAGTAGCAGAGACTCAGGTCTGAAAGTCAAAGTTAGGAATATAATACTAGTATACAGTTATCAGTGTATGATTGAAAGCATGAGTTGTTCAAAAGTTAAGATCTATGATCTTGGTCAACTTTTGGGTTTAGGCAAATTAGCAATTCTTGGAAATTGAAGACCTAGTCTGTTTCTAATATTTTCATAATTATACAAATAAGCAAGTTTGATATGAGGCTTGGAATATTTATACCAAAGAAGAGAAAATTTTAAGGAAGATAGAGTAGTAGGCAAGGATGAGATATTAGGAAAGATAGTTTTTGAAAACTATAGAGAAAGTAAGCTCAGGGTAATGGTTTTGAAAATAGGAGGAAATAAGGAAGATGATTATAAGAGGCTAATGAGTAGTTAGTAAGGACATTTGAGAAGGATTTGGGGTATGATGTGTTATGTCTTTGTTTTTATCCATTATTATAGAATGTAGAAAAATGGCTATAGGTAGTAGATCAGAATCCTTAATTTTTGCTTTAACTTTTGCAAAAAAAGTTGATGAGAAATGACTTTACAAAAGCATTCTTCAATCATTTTATATTCTAGCTGCTCAGTTTATTTACTCACGACGTGACAAACCTGTTGAGCCTGTAGAAGAATATGATTATGAAGATCTGAAAGAATCCTCCAATTCTCTTTTGAACCATCAGCTAAGTGAATTTGATCAAGGTATAGTAAAAGTAGTCTGTGTTTTTTATCTGAAAATGATTAATAACCAGTATACCAGAACGTCAGTTTTATTGTGACTGTTCATGATAGTGATTGTGGGTAGTAATGGTATAAATGTATCTTATATTTTGAAAGAATATACATTTTATTAAGTATATTTTGTTAATGTATGGTTAACTGTATATTTGAAAATTGATTGTGTGGCTGTTACTTAGTAACTGGAATTTTTATTGAAATCTTCACCTGATCTTCTTAAGAGAGAAACTTTAGTGATTTGTTTTCTTTTAGTAATATTTATTGTTTCATATGCTCTATGTAGAACTTATGATTAGATTATTGAAGTTCATTTCTTTATAAAACATTAGGTTCCAGAGGCTGTTTTTGTTGGTTTGTTTTTTAAATTTTAAGTTCAAAGTAACACTATACAAGTGTCCTGATGGGTCATATCCATGTAAATCAAGTGTCAAGATAGAACTCATAAATGGTAATGACATTGGTTCTGAATTTGCATCTTTAGAATTCTCTTAAACATTTTAACAAAGATATTTGTATTTAGGCTTTCCTCTATTATAAGTAAATTTTAAACATGACATTATTTCAAAGATATTACTCAAGCTGTAGATTGATGAACAGTGTAGCAGAACTAAGATGGCCAGGTATAATAGTAAAACCGTCTGTTGGTAGTAAGCAAGGCTGAGCTGATTTGTTCTTTCTCTATGAATGTGAATTTGTTCTACAAATGTTTATAAATTGAAAATTGATAACAATTACTTTGAAAACAGAAAGGGGAAATGTAAGAATCTCAGAGCTGATCAGAAAAATGGACAGAAAGAACAAATATACAAATTTAGAAAGCAGAAAGGAAAACAGCAGATATAAAATAAAAATAAATTTATCAACTGCAAATACATTTAACAATCTGTATAAAAGTTTATAGAAGAGCTGCTATACAAACTCTTTAATAGTATTTGTGTATGTATATATTTCTAGGTAAAGATACTTTTAAAAATATATTTTTCAATTGATTTTTTTAGAGAGAGAAGAAGGGAGAGGGAGAGAAACATTGATGTGAGAGAAAAACATTGAATGGTTGCCTCCTGTAGCATCCCAACCAAGGATTGAACCTGAAACCTGGGTATTTGCCCTGACTAGGAATTGAACCGGCAACGTTTCAGTGCTCGGGACGATGCTCAACCAACTGAGCCACTTCAGCTAGGGCTGATTGTATATATATATTTTTTAAATATATTTTATTGATTTTTTTACAGAGAGGAAGGGAGAGAGATAGAGAGCCAGAAACATCGATGAGAGAGAACATCGACCAGCTGCCTCCTGCACATCTCCCACTGGGGATGTGCCCGCAACCCAGGTACATGCCCTTGACCGGAATCGAACCCGGGACCCTTCAGTCCGCAGGCCGACGCTCTATCCACTGAGCCAAACCGGTTTCGGCTGATTGTATATTTGAAGAAAGTGTTGTAGTTGTCTTTGTGGGGTGAGAGGGTAGGAATAGAGTAGAAGTCTTATACTTTTTCTCCTGTGCTTCAGAATGATTAAGACGGTACGAAATTCAAAGTTTATTTGAGAATGGAAGTTAATCATTCCCATCTGACATATGTAATGGCATGATAATGATAATAATGATTGTAGCTATGCTTTACTAAATGCTTTCCAAGTATTATTCTAAATGTTGTTCAGGTATTATTGCATTCAATCTTCACAGCAACCTATGACATTTTAATATTAGGTTGTCTTGCCCATTTTTAAAGATTTTAGTTGGTGAGAGAAAACTAAAGTTAGCCTAAAAGAAAACTTAAAGTAGTGGTAATTTAAGAAATTTTAAGAAATATACTTAGTGATTAACTGGGTTCATTAACAAGTTAGAAATATTTTCATACCTGCCTCTCCCTTGTACACATGTAAAACATCATCATCATTTAAAGTAGATATTAATGTATACAATTTACAGTTTTTTCAAGCATTAGTTATTGTTATTTAGGAGACATTTATTACAGTGATTTCTTAATGAAATTGTTCCTTTGATAGAGAAGATAGGTATGTTTGGATAAAAATATAATCATTATAAATAAGTTGTAGAGGAAAAAGGAGAGTTGAACCATCCTACTATAATTTCAAATTCTTTCAGGTTTGAAGATTGAGGGTTCTTTCATGACACCATTTAGCCTAGCTTTTAATTATTGCTGTCTGTTCTAGCTCGTCTTTATTCATGCCTTGATCATATGAGAGAGGTATTTGGAGATGCTGTGCCAGATGACATATTGATTGAAGCAGTTCTGAAGAACAAGTTTGATGTGCAGAAGGCTTTGTCAGTGGTTCTGGAACAAGATAAAATGCAGAAATTGAAGGTCAAGAATGAAGGAGCAATATCTACAGGAAAGATAGCAAAAGGTATGCTTTTACTTGGTCTCTTTTAGTTGTTTTACAGTTAATGTTTTAAAAGAGGCTTTGATTTGTTTGAGCTGTTAAGGAAAATGGGCAGAAAAGTTTGCATGTTACGATAACTCATTTGTTTTTCTAGTTTGTGAAATTTTAAGCTGAGTGCTGTGTTCCCTCTGTCAAAGCCTTTTTTTGCCTCTCTGCTTGCTTTCGTAACTAACAGGATATAGGGGAAATAAAGTCCTATTAAAAACAAGACACTTGCCTTTTGGTAGAGCTTTTAAATTACTCTTGTTTTTTAACTCTAATGGTTCAGGAGATGGAAATTAATAGCTCGACAATGTAAAAAATTTCTTTATGCTTATAGTATTTATAAAAGCAATTTAGTTTTATTTAACCACTTAACTGCCATGATATTTTTAATTTAATTTAAAAAGGTCCGCTGCTTGCGTCTATAGATGCTTATGGCGTACAGATGGTTAAATATCATACGTATCATAATTATACTACTCTTGCATTTATAGCCAGATGTTTAATTTTAAGTTTGTAGAGTTTGTGATTAAATTTGGAATTTAGTCAACATAAGAAGGGAACTGAGATACTTTTATAGTAACTGGTATGAGATCTGTCAGTAGGAACATGATGATTTGTTAATGGGTTGAATATTTACTAGTACTGTTAAGCTGAGGACTAGATTTTTGCCACAACAAAGTTATATGTAGTCTGCTACCATTCAGTAAGGGTGGTTTTTGTTTTCTTTAAATTTTTTTAAAATTTTGTACTAAGTCTTTTAACTAACCAAATATGAGAATGAATACAAACTGTAATATGTCATCTATATCAATAGTTTATCCCAGATCGTTGTAGAATTTAAATTATAGGATGATGTTTGCTTGTTTTTAATACATTAAAAATACAGAAGATGAGCCTACTACTTTCCATTGGTTTTTAAGACATTTTGAGTTTGAGACATTCCTGACTATAATTTAAGTGTTAAAAACCTCACATTATAAAATTTATGGAAATTAGAACATTAATTAACTTGGTACTTACTTGTATATGTCAATGAACAAAGTAGGAAGGTCACTTTGGATAGTTAAATGAAGGAAAAATTCTCTTATTGATTTTTAGAGTGTTCACTTTTTATTAAATAATGATCAATTATCACTTTATTCATGTCATAATCTAAGAAACATTTAGTAATTAATGCCTCATTTCATGTTTCCTTTTGGTTGCTGTGACTGTCTTCTGCATATGTGAACCTATTCATCTGAAAATTAATGGCTCTTGTAAGGTAAGGAGTCTTATTATCTAACTCTGAAGTTTCAGCTGATAATGTTCAAAGCTCTTGTCCTCAGTCTGCAAATCATTTGGATTGCAGTAGCAAACCATTTGATTTTTCTGGTCCAGTAACAAAATGTGGATTATATAATAATTCCTCAGTTGTACCAAGTCACTTTTTACTCCATAAAAAAAAGAAACTTGACAGGCCTAGAAGTGAAAAGAAACTAGAATCATGTAAGTTAACAAAAGAGCTGTCACTGGCTGAACTAATGGATGATATGCCAAGAGATTCTTTTAAAAGTCAGCCATCTGTCCAATTATCATCCACAGATAGTCTGGAAAGTCTACTTTCAAAGAATCTAGATGCCAATTTGTTAGGACCTCATGCATCTGAATCTGTTCCCAAAGATGATTCTGCTTTCAAAGGAATTCCAGATTTAAAATCCTTAATGATTAAGAACACGACACTGAATAACTCTTTATTTATTCAAAATAATTCACTACATGATTTGCAAAACATTCCAGTACTAAGCAGTTTAGAAAGTTTAAATAATCCTTTGCTCCTGACTAGCTCATTGGAAAATACGGCTCTTGATAATTCAGACGCTCATAAGATGACTGAAGTTGGAAACATTTCTTCAGTTGAACAAAGTGCGAAGAATTGTATTTTAAAAAATGACAATTTGCAGTTTTTCCAATGTGGAAGTCCATCCCTAGCTGAACTGTTTCAGGACCACAAAGAAAACAATCCAACCCAATGCTGTACTTTATCTGATCTTTGTAACCAGTCATCTGCCAGTTTGGGATCCTTTCCCCTATCACAACTAGCAAATCGGTCTATGTCTTCAACTGGAGTATCAGAATTAACAGGATCTCTGTCATCTTTGGCATTTCATAAAACTACTCCTACAAGAGACTTTGAGAATTTATCACTTTCTGATTTGATTGCAGAAACGATTGATATAGACAGTGCTCAGAATAAGGAAGATTCCTTTAAGCTCAGTTTATCTGAAATGAGGTCACCTGAAATAGATTCAAATATTGACCTTAGTATTCTTATAAAAACTTCAGATTTTGTTCCAAAACCTGTAGTAGACCAATCAATAGCTCCAACACCAGGAACTAAAGTTCTGAGTTCGAAGCTAGGGAAACATTCCATTTCTGCTAAGGATAGTAAGAAAAACAGTAAAGGCTCTGTGAGTAGGAAACCACCTTTTTCTCTGTCATGGACCAAGGCCCTTGCTGCTAGACCTTCAGCTTTTGCTTCAACACTATGTCTTCATTACCCATTGAAAAGCTGCAAGCGACGCACCCTTGACCTTTATAAGACTTTTCTTTATAGTAGACAAGTTCAAGACATAAAGGACAAAGAAATAAGTCCTCTTATAGCAATAACACCATTTGACTTCAAATCAGCATCTCCTGATGACATTGTAAAAGCTAATCAGAAGAAAGTGTTCACTAGAGAATAGTCACGAAAGGAAAGCTTGATCACTGCTGGAGAGCGTTTCATTTTAAAGAGATTGAAAGTCTTTATAGGATGACTTTATAGTATGAATATAAGTTGTGATTTTTATATTAAAATTGTCTAATGTTGATAAGTTTAGTTGGTATGAATTTTTGCACTGAAATTTCGTTTTTACTCTATCTTTTTAAAATGATAATTGGCTTTATTTAAGTTGATAGCTTATACGGGGTGTATGTTTACAAATTGCATATGAAAACTTGATATTGTGAAATCAAACCTCAGATACAATATTTTTGTTTGAAGCATTGAACTTTTTTACAAGGAGACATTTTCTTTTATAAAATACTTTTGTGCTTTGTTCTTAAATAAAATGCTGCCAATTAGGATTATTATAGTTTAGTGATGAAGGTTTTTCTTATATGTGGCATAGCATAGCTGAGTCAGAATTACATTTTAAAATATCAGTGGTATCATTCCAAGTTTCATTATTTTTCTGTAGGTGAAACTAAATTTTTCTATTAGAAAAATATTTAAATTCCTGACTTTTCAGAATACTGTGGAGGTTGTTGAAATACATTTTTGATGAAAATAAAATGAAAATTCTTTAAGGGACCGTGTAAATATTGAAGTTGAATTAATACATAAAGTATTTTTATATATTTTCAAAACTATTTGTCCTAAATGCATATTTCAAAATAAATATATAGAAAATTTTTAAGTATGCTTGTATGTTCTTTGAATAGATAATTTTATCAGATCTCTTTAACTTTTTTACCATAAGTAATGAAATGTGGAGTTTTCCTCTTTGCTACTGATAGCTTTGCATGCTATCTAAGTTTCAGCAATGGCAGACCAAATAAGAGCTCTTTTGGACAGTAGAACAAGTATGTAATTCTTTCCTCAAAGCAGTTTTTCACCTAGCAATCAGAATCACTGGGGGAATTTTTTCAGAACTTGGCTTCACTTGAGACGTGGTCAGCGCCTCTCTGAGGGATGGCATTTGGGAATGTATATTTTCAAAATAGTCCCTATGTGATTCTGATATGTTACTTCTGCTGAGGAACTACTGCCTTAGAGAAATAAATAAGTAGAATGAAAGGAATTACTAATGCTTAGAATAACATCTGACCAACTTGAATTCATAATTCATATTTACTAGTAATCAGGGATACCAAGGAAAATTGCTAAGTAGAAATTACTGTCTTTTACATAAGAAGATGCTGGTATTATAGTATTAATATTTCTTGAAGAAAAAATAGTATTTAAAATATCATGTCTTAATGAAAATGAAGTAAGTAGCTGACCTTTTACCAGGAAAAATATATTTTTCTCTGGCAGCTGCTTTTAATAATTTTTTTTTGTATTTCTAGTTTCTATTTATTTGCATAATGACATTCCAGTCTTTTTAACTATGTATGATGTTCTTATATTCACTGTTTTGGTGGGAACACTTAAGCCAACATTGTCTTTATAGTTCTTGACCAAACACTTTCTTGTGATGTCTTAAGGTTTTATTTTTAATTACATATTTCAGTGCACATCATGCTTTTTAGGAGATCATATAAATCATATTTTATGATTGATTTTAAAGTTTGAATTACCCCAGATGCTGATTTTGTAGTCTTGGACCTTGATCAAACATTTTTACAATTTTGAACTTTTAGTATATGACTCATCAACTGGATTTATGTATAGGCAGTCTTCAATTTTTTTTTTTTAATATATTCTATTGATTTTTTACGGAGAGGAAGGGAGAGAGACAGAGAGTCAGAAACATCGATGAGAGAGAAACATCGATCAGCTGCCTCCTGCACATCTCCCACTGGGGATGTGCCCGCAACCCAGGTACATGCCCTTGACCGGAATCGAACCCGGGACCCCTCAGTCTGCAGGCCGACGCTCTATCTACTGAGCCAAACCGGTTTTGGCGGCAGTCTTCAATTTAGAAGTGAATTGTGTTCTAAGAGTTTGTTTGGAACTGACAATAATTCCTGATAGAGTTAGTTAGTGCTACATATGTGGTCCACTTTGCACATGAATCCACAAATACTTTTTTAACTCATATTGAGTTGAACTGTGTGGTAACCTTCTTTTAAACAAACCAATTTTCAAGTAGGAAATACAATAACTTTTTAAGTCACATAGATCTTACAATGTGAACGAAATGTCCCTTTGTTGGCTGATTAGGATTATAATTACCATTTATAAGATTATTTTAGGGGGAAAATTCTATATTACAGGGTGATAGGGAAGGTAAGGAATTTTTATTGTCTCCCTATTTTTTTTACTTGTCATGGCTACTAGTCTGTCAGGTGTGTCCATGGTATGCATTTGCCCTGTTGACTAGGTAAATGTCACTGTCTTGAGATTTAGAGAGTGGAACCAAGAAGACCCTCTGCCCTTCCCCTCTTGGCCGTTAGCCCTTGGAAAAGAGACAAGGGCCTGCTTGTTCATGGAGACACTGCTAGTGATAATGATTGCTCCCACTAAAGGCATGTTCTGCACCGACTGCTGTCTTGGTAGCTCAGGTGCAGGTATGCTAACTGTTTTTGTTTACTTTCCAGATCAAATATCAATTTTGAGGTGCAAAGTCATTTTTATTTGCATTATGATCAAGTACATTAATATTTTACTTTAGGAATAGAAATAATACTGTAATTACATTTGAAATGATATAAAATACAAAATATATTTAAAATGACCATTTTACTCTTAATTTCTTGTGTCTTTTCAAAGATCATAGATGTCCTGTCCTATTGCATTCTAAAGTCTTTAGTTGGCTTTTTTTGTTATGGTTCTTACCATTTATTGCTAAGAACTAGTGTTTCATTTCCGCAGAGAACATTTTGCTGAACTTCCTATTTTGTTTTATCTTTTTCTTTATTTCCTAGTAACGAAACTGGCATCTTAACCTCTTTTTCTCCGTTTGGCTTTAAATCCTTCTTTCTTGACCTTTCCTTCACCTTTTTTTTTTTTAAATCATATAAGTAGTAATAATGATTCTCAGTATTTAATTTTTAGTACTCATGGGAGGTCATGCAACTAATTGTCACACCAAAGATAAGATTAATACAGTGCATTTCTGATTATTTACCTTTTAAATTGACCCTGAATCTCTGTGTGGCCCATTGCAAATAAACAAGTACACAATGTATATTCAGGAGGGACTATGTATCAGTTTTCTGTTTCTTGCTCACACAAGTATATATTTGGTTATAAAATCAGTTTTGTGGTAGCTTAGATATTTTCTGTTACATAGATAAAGATAATGTTGACTAGATAGACATAGATATGAATATCTTTATTAGGTTTATTTTATAATTATATAAGGCTCAGTGTATATAGTTGTATATTGTAATTTTTAGTTTTTAGGGTATAAAAAGACTTGTCACTTTTTGAGTGTATGTGTACATTTTTGTAAAAGTTACATAGAAATGATAATTCTGAGGTTTTCTTAAGTGTGAAAACACACCATAATTTATTGATTAGAATTTTTTTATATAAGCTTAATATTTTAGAATGGTATTTAATAATTTATGTTTCTGTAAACATATTAGAAAACAAACGGCCTTATTGTGCAGAATTTCTTGTAAGATATTTGTCATTTAGACTTCTTGCTTTCAAAAAGATAAAATTATATACATTTTTACTTTTTAAGACTTACATAGAAACACTATTATAGGTTATAGTAAATATGAGCAATGTACTTGTAAAGGTGGCAGTAGAAGGTAAAAGAATTGATATAGTATATATTTCTGGTGTTGAC